TTCTCTCTCTCTCTCTCTGCCCCTCTCCCCCACTTGCTCTCTCTTTAAAAATTAAAAAATTAAATTAAAAAACTAAAAAGGTCCCAGTTTATTTCATATTTTTATAGTGATTCAGTTTTCTTTCCTTTTTTTTTTTAAACACTTGTGATAATACGCACCTGAATTCATTTATTAGATATGGATAAAGCATAAATGTTAGTCAACCAAAATAATGGAAAAAGCAGGTTGCCTTTATAATTTAGACTCAAAACAATTCTAAGGCTAGTTAAGATGACAGAAGACAAGCACAATTAATCCTGACCTATGGAAACACCCTGAAGACGTAACTTTTTACTCTTGGCAGGGCAAGAAGCAAAATAAATGTGTTATTTTTCCAAATAAATAAATAATGAATAAAAGCTTTTCACTTATAACAAAAGAGTGAGGATTATTTAACTTATTATCAAAATTGAAAACTTAAGAATAAAATGGAGATATGGACAACAGTATTTTGACAATGTTTTTTATAAAGAAGCTACCCTGCAGAGAAGAAGACTAGGACTGATGTGTAGAAAGAACAACTATGTGAGACCAGGCACCAAGGTGACCAGTCCCCAAAGAGTAGCAAAGACACATAGTACCTGTTACACTTTCTGCAGTGATGTGACCGTGGAGCCTTGTACGCTTGGCAGACTTTACAATACTGGAGGTACATGCTATCCTGAGAATTTTCCTTGGTAGCAAAATACAAACAAAAATCCATCAGATATCTGCCCCTAATAAGTCAAGCCTTATGAATAAATTCTTTTCTATGGTCTGATTTTATAGGGGATGGGGATGAGGATGGAATCTTAACTTACTTATTTCCTGCCCTTTTATCTGAGCAGAAATACTTCTAAATAATGAATTTCTGGTAACAGCCACATCACTCTTCTAATTACCCAGAAGTCATTTTTAATTTCTCTTCCCCATGCTCCACCCAAATCCATCATCACTGACTGTAGCTGGTTCTACATTTCCAAAATCTTTGTGCAATCTTTGTAGGAGTTCAGAAAAAAGGTAGCTGACAACTTGGGAGGGAGGTATTTTGGAGTGGATATTCAAACACCAGAGCTGATAGTCTTTAGGAAATCTGGTCCCCCCCACCCTACTCCGCACCATTTCAATCACTTCTAACTACTTTCCTGTACTAAAGTCTCTCTAATCCAAACTGTCATTGTCTGAGTAACATTCCTGCAACATGACTCTGATTATGTCAGAGCTTGGCATGAAAACCTCTAATCCCTCCTTATGGTCTAAGAATTCCTCATGTATTTAAGGCCCTTCAGAATCTGCATTTGTTTCAGCCTTATTTGTAGTACATAACCCGCCCGCTGTTTCAGACTATATGCATGAAATGGCTTCCTTCCCATCTGTAGGAATTTACACTACTCCCTCAGGTCCACAGCTAAAAAGGATCACTTCCTTCTAGCTTCAACAGCACTTATCACATTCTTCTCTATGTGTAATTACTTACACAAGTAATTACACAAGTATCTTGGTTTCTCTCCTCAATTATAAGATTTTTCAGAATATGAATCTGTCTTACTCATCTTTGTACTCACTTTAAATAATACACTAGTGTTTCTACAACATTAACGTACCTAAGAATCATCTGGGGATTCTGATAAATGCTAATTCTGATTCGTAGGTCTGGAGTAGAGCCCAAGATTTTGCATTTGGTTTTTGTTTTTTTTTTAATTTTTTTTTATTTTTGAGACAGAGACATAGCCTGAGTCGGGGAGGGGCAGAGAACGAGGAAGACACAGAATCTGAAGTAGGCTCCAGGCTCTGAGCTGTCAGCACAGAGCTCAATGTGGGGCTTGAACTCACAAACTGTGAGATCATGGCCTGAGCCAAAGTTGGACACTTAACCAACTGAGCCACCCAGGTGCCCCAAGATTTTGCATTTCTAATAAGCTATCAGACAGTGCCCCTCAGCAAGGAATATGGAAATACATGAGTATAAACTTGCTACAATTTTTATTTTTTTTTTAATTTAAAATTTTTTTTTAAATGTTTTTATTTATTTCTAGGAGAGAGAGAGAGAGACAGTGTGAGCAGGGGAGGGTCAGAGAGAGAGGGAGTCACAGACTGAAACAGGCTCCAGGCTCTGAGCTGGCTGTCAGCACAGAGCCCGACGCAGGGCTCGAACCCACGAACCGCGAGATCATGACCTAAGGGAAAGTCGGACGCTTAACTGACTAAGCCACCCAGGCGCCCCATAAACTTGCTACAATTTTTAAAAAGCCATAAACCAATTCATATTGTTATTTTCTAATGTTATGACTTTAACATTGATTTTAAAACCTTATGTTTTAAGTCAGGAATTTCTAAAGACTTGTTCTTAGTTCTGAGGGCTGTTAAAGTTTACATAAAGTTTTTATGGGCACTTAGGTAGCGACCACCTTTGACTCAGGATGTAACTGGCTGTTTGTGAGTTCAAGCTCCACGTCAGGCTGTGGGCTGACAGCTCAGAGCCTGGAACCTGCTTCAGATTCGTGCCTTCCCCTCTCTCTGGCCCTTCCCCACTCCTGCCGTGTCTCTCTTTCTCAAAAATAAATGAACATTAAAAAAAAGATCCTAGTCAAACTGCATTGTGGAATTATAAGACATGTAGGACATGCAGTAGTTCTTAAATTTAGGACTATGGACTCACTATCCCCTCCAGTGTTGTTTTTTTTTTTCTTTCCTTTTTATGAAGGACAAGTATTACATAAAATCTCTCTGGGAAGTACTAATTTAGATGAATATTTCCAAGTAGATACAAAATAAATTCTTTGAGCTTTAAATGATCAGTAGTTAGAACATGCTGAGTCTCACAGTAGTTAGAACAGGCTGTGTTTGATATTATTGGTTAGGAGATAAGCCATAAACTAAATATATGATTATCATTAGAGTTCCTTATCTTAAGGGATCTTTTTCTTACCGGTTTCCACCCCAAAGGGACAAAGCCAGGACCAATAAACATGGCATTGAAGTAATTATAAAGAATCATGACAGTCCAATTTATCAACATGATGAAATTCATGCTTCCTCCAGTCGTATGTAAAGGCCAATACCAGAGCACAGAGTCAATCATGGCCATCGTAGAACATATTGCTATAACACCAAGGGCTATGATGGGGCCCCAATGACACAGTCTCTTTAATTCTTGGAGATTTTCAAACTTGATAACTGAGCAGAATGCACCCATTTTGGGAGGAAGGATGCCTTCCTACTTTTAGAAAATTATAGATTTCCTTTTTCTGTGCACACATTTCCATGTGCCACAAGTCCACGTGTGTTCCTTAATTGTCATGCCTTCAGGTTACGGGATGTTAATGGAGATTATGACATTTTCACTGTTACACATCAGAGCTCTTTATCTTAACTAGAAGAATCCAGTATCTCGGCTTGAAGCCCAATCTAAAGAAAACAAAATGAGAAAGTACAGTGAAAAAATTTTATTATATAGCATACTTAACTCCAATAACCACCTAAACAAAAGCATCTCACAAGTGCTATGGGATGAGTACCTCATCAACTGGCAAAAGTAGCCACCAGTAAAACCTTGGTTTGTGAGCATAATTTGTTCTGGAAACATGTTTGTAATCCAAGGCATTAATGTATCAAAACGAATTTCAAGAACCATTGACTCCATTGTGATCATGTGACATTTGCTCCTATGGAAAGCCATCGCTTCTTTATCAAGTTAAAATTTATTAGAAATGTTTGACCATCTTGCAGAACAAGTTACTCCCAATCCAAGGCTTTACTGTATTTTTATCTGATCCAAAAGAGGGCTCAAGTCTGAACTGCCTGTAAACTGGGTACATGATTCTAAGATGTTTTTATTTCTTTGTTTCCAACTTGACTGGTAACTGTGATTGTCGTTGAGAGGATGGTTGGAGGTGACCGAGGAATTTAGAGCAGGTGCAGGACTTTAAGCGTTGATTGAATCCGGAAATTGGTTTCAAAAGGCTAAGTGACTGCACAAGGTTCACAAGTAACAGCTGAACCTAAACTAGAAGCCAAAAAGATCTAATTCCTTTAACCAAATCATCTCATTCCGTCTACAGCGTTCTAAACTGCCTCCTACCCAGTCTCGATTTGTCCCGTATGAGCCCAGCAGGGTCTACACATTTGCCTGCGGTTGCCCCCGAATCACTAGCATAAGGATCAACTTGGGCCAAAGGTAAAGAGGCGAGCGAGTGAAAGCAAAGCCAGAGTGAAAGGAGGGGAGGGAAGGGCAGGGGAGGCAGAGATGTGTGTGAGGTCATGACTAGAGGCACACAGAAGGAACATGAATGAAAATATTCGAGAAAACAGATGAGGAAGCGCCTCTGGCGGGGGGACGGGGAAGGTGGCCGGCGAGCGCCGGAAGATCTGTGGAAGGGTATTTCCGACCGGTTGCAACGAGTCGAGGGAAGATCTGAGTTACGGGGTAATAAAGACTTTCACGCAACAGATGCCATCGCCTTGTGCCTCAGTTTCCCGCCCGGATCATGGAGCAGAGCACTTAGAAATCCTCACTCAGGGGAGGACCATCCTGGCAAGCGTGGGTGGTTTCAACATTCTGGAGATTCTGGGCTCACTCGGACGGGGCGAGGGCAGACGGCCAGAATCATCGTTACATCCCTTGCCTTGACTCCCACCTCAGTTTGGTCCTTGGTGCCCGCTCCTCGGCCATCGCATTTCCGGGGCGGCCTGGGCTCACCCGGAACAGGTTTTCTCCTCCTCGGATAACTCCATCATGGCTACCTCAGCCCAGCGCCAGCAGAAAGCAAATCCTGGTTGCAAGAAGCTGGAGTGCGGGACCTGCCGCAACCAGTCGGCCTCTCCACCAGCGATCTCGCGGGGGCCCGCCTTGCTCCCTCCCGGTGCGCGGTCTCCGCGAGAGCCACTTCCGGTGGGTTCGCCGCCATCAGACTTCCCTCGGGAAGCAAGTTCCTGGGACCTTGAACTTGGGGAGCCGGAGCCGCCTTCCAGGATGCGGGGAGGCCAAAAACCTTCCAGTGATCCCTGAGAACGCAGATATTTTCGGAGCCTTCTGGAAGCCCTAATAGAAGTGCCTTCCTTAGCGAGTTTTTTTAAAATCTTGAAGCCTGAGCGGACAATTAAAAACGCACGCAGGCCAATTTCCGGAGGACCGAGATTGCGACGAACAACCAGGAAGCGGCCGGGCTGGGAGCTGTCCCCGGTTCTTCGCTCTACTGTCCAGGCCGCCTCCCGGGTCCTTACACCGTGTTCCTCTGACCTGTGTGGCCTCTGCCACGACCTGGGCTCCGGCCCGGGCCGATCACTCCGGAGCCGCCATGTCATCCGATTTCGAAGGCTATGAGCAGGACTTCGCGGTGCTCACGGCAGAGATCACCAGCAAGATTGCGAGGGTCCCCCGACTCCCTCCTGGTGAGAGCCCTGACCCGGGAGCGCGGGGGTGGCCCCGAGGGCGCCGAGGCTCGCGGGCTGTGGAACGTCTCTGAGGCGCGAGGTGGTTCAGGGGCCCTCCCGGGGCGAAGGAGTCTGACTTGGTTGATGGTAAAAGCAGACTCTAGGCTGGGCTGTGGAGTGCCGTGAAAAGAGCCTCCGGTATTTGAGCCTCCTGGGCTAGAATCCGGACTCCACCGCCTTGTTACTTGTACAACCTTGGGAACGTTTCTCCGAGTCTTAGTTTTTGTTCTATTTTGTTTTTGTTTCATTTGTAAAATAGAGATGTGAGTATTACAAGAGAATGAATGAACGTACCTAGATCATGGATCTGTAATATACAATACTATTGTTTTGTTAGTGATAATACTATTACGTGCGGCCAAGTAGGGTTAAGAGCTACGGTGCCTGGATTCAAAACCCAGCTCTGCCGCTTAAAAGTTGTGGCACTTACGGGCGCCTGGGTGGCTCAGTCGATTAGCGTCCGACTTCGGCTCAGGTCATGATCTCAGGGTTCGTGGGTTTGAGCCCCGCGTCGGGCTCTGTGCTGACAGCTCAGAGCCTGGAGCCTGTTTCAGATTCTGTGTCTCCCTCTCTCTTGGGCCCCTCCCTGCTCACGCTGTCTCTCTCTCGCGCTCAGAAATAAATAAAACATTTAAAACTTTAAAAAAAAGTTGTAGCACTTAAAAAGTTTCTTAAACCTCTCTCAACTTCTTGGCAAAATGGTGAGAAATGCACATATCATTAGAGTTGTTGTAGAGATTAGGTGATTTAACATATGGAAAACCCTTTTTTGGTGTTAGCTGCTATAATATTAGTATTTTTCATACCCCCCAACCCCATTTCTTATTTCTCATCCTTCTTGGGAGACTGCAACCCACTTTTATATAAAACTTGGTACAGGATAATTTTTCTCACTTTTAAGATGCCACATATCCCATCTAGAAGTGTTCTTGTTCTTGTTCTAGAAGTTTTAGCATATCGTACTTTCCATGCTAAACTGTCATCTCTGAATGTCGGAGGTATGTTTGATTTCCTTGGCATTTACTTCGGGGTCAGAAAGATGTTTAAGTGGATGAACAGATGAATATAAATATATTTGGTAATTTTTTTTATTGTGAGACACTGTTTTAGGATTTACCTTTCTCTAAGTACAGATTTAATTTGAGTAGTTAGTTGCAGGTAAAATTGTTACTTGTAGCTTAGTTTTGCTAGGGACACTGAACCATCATCTGGACTTGACCCTCCCTTGGCTCTGGGGTGTAGTGTGCAGAAAAGAGGGTGCTCACTGATCTGTGAACTGGTGGGCAACTTCCCTATTTCCACCTTGTTAGTCAGTTCTTGATGCCAGCAATAATTTCTGCTGGACCTCAGTTGTTGTTTCTCTTTCCCCCCAAACTTGTGTGTTTATAAATAATTTTCTTCCTTTATTTCTTTGTTTTTTCTTTCCCCTTCCCCCACCTATTTTCTATTAATAGGGACATTTGCTTGAGACCAGGATCTCTGAACTTACACCCCACTCATCTTCTGAAGTCCCAGTTAGTTCTGGAGAGGTGGATGATGTCTTAAAGAGGTTTATGAACCCAAGTGAGGGAACAAGAGGAGAGGACCAAGGTCGCGTACCACCGAGCTCTGCTGCCTCAGAAACTTTTGTGGAGAAAGTGGCTGATGGCCTCATCACTTCATGATACATCACCTCACCTCTTCAGTTCTGCTTTTCTCCACTGCCCAAGACCATCTTGATTTTGTTGTCAGTGTTGCTGGAGACTACTTCTTTGACTTGAGCTCTGGAGTCTCAGAGTATCGGGACTTGTGGTTTCAGTTGGATTTGTGTTCATTTTTAATTGTAACAGTTTTAACAAAGACTCATTTTCTGTTTGGGCTAATAGCTTTTGTATAAAGAAGGTGTTTTATAATGGGTGCAAAGTTGTAGAAGCTGTTTCCAAGAAAAACAGTTTTCATTACAATTGATTTTTTCTTGTCTTTATGTTTTAAAGTAACGATTCTTATCATATTGAAGGAAATCTTTGATTTAGATACCTTAAAAATTGGGGCACCTGGGTGGCTCAGTTGGTTAAGCGTCTGACTTCGGCTCAGGTCATGATCTCACTGTTCGTGGGTTCGAGCCCCGCATTGGGCTCTGTGCTGATAGCTAGCTCAGAGCCTGGAGTCTGTTTCAGATTCTGTGTGTGTCTCTCTCTCTGACCCTCCCCTGCTCACGTGCTTGCTCTCGCTCTCTCTCTCTCAGAAATAAATAAAATATTAAAAAAAATAGATACCTTAAAAATAAAGCCTTGAGTCACCTACCTATAGTATGGTGTAAGACCCAACCATAGCAGTTACATTGGAATTGAAAAAAGACTATATAGCTGGCACTGGAGAAATGCCTACTGACTTGACTAACTGAATAATAGTAATTCTTAAAAATGTATTAGTTTCCTTCTTAATAGTTACTTATGCTTGCTCTCTTACAATCTGTTTCTAGTTGATAAATAGAAAAAAATAAAAAATACATCCATGCAGTTACGAATTTCAGATATGTCTGTGGACTAACAAATTAATATGTACAACCACAAAAAAAAAAAACAGTGTGATTAAAAGTAATGACAGTCTCTCCATCAGAACATCATTAGTGTTTGATCTAGAGGAGATGAACTATAATTTACTTGAGTTAAAAAGTTTAAAATTGGAGCAAACTTTGCCGCCAAAGCAGCTTATTCCCCAACTTATTAACTTATTTAAATTGAAGTAGAGTGAGGAGGATTGATTGCAAGGAACTTCAATCTGTGCTGTGCATGTACAGTGTATTAAAGTGTTACTTCCAGAGAGAATAGGAAAGATGGAGTACTTTAAAACTTTAATTTATAAAAGAAATTTGATTACTCTGTGATATGTTTTAAACAATAAAAAAAACTTTGCTCCTAGACTGAAGTGTTTGAATTTAACTAATTTTAGTACGTGGACTAATGCAACAGATCAGTCTCTCTCTTGGTAATATTCTTAATGGATAATGGTAATATTAATAATTTGGAATTTAATTTCAATGATTAGTGTTCTGTGGTAAAGTCAGGAAAATGGACCATAACTAATTCATCACCCTTTCCTCCGGTGATGAATCCTAAGTGAGAGGATACTTTACAGGTGCAAAGTTACGTCAGGCAGGCCTCATCAAGACTTTTAAATACAGTGTTCTTCTGCAATTATTTGCAGAGAGATAAATGATCTTTTGTGAATCCTACCACTTTGTGAGATTCACACATGGCACCTGCTCCTTGCGGGATGCTCAATCTGGAGCTAATTGCCTGGCCTCTCCAAGCCTGCTTCCTCCATCTTTCAACTGGGGAGAGGAGGTAATTGCTTCAACCTTACTTACAGTAAGTGTTGTAAGAATCAAACGAAAGAAAGCCTGAAACACACTAGCACATTTCCCCCCCAAAGTGCATGATAAGTGAGCTATTAGTGATGTTATTAACACTGCAGAAGAACAGCTGGTCGGGTTAGATAGGACCCAGCTTCTCAGACTTTGTGATATTAATTGAACTCTTAAAGGAAACTTGGACCTCAATCCATGCTTCCTTTTCTGCCTCGACTAGAGTTAGGTGAGTCCCTCTCGAAGAATGCCTACATTTGAAAGAATGTGAATGATCAAGGGCTTTTGGATATGAAATGGAAATTGGACAATGAACTCAGGAATATCAAGAAGGGAGGCAGGGGAGAGAAGTAAAGGTGATGGGGAAGGACAGGTGTCCTTTCTGGAAGAAAATGCTCAAGTCTCACTCATTAGCTATGCCAATCCTTGGAGGCTTTTGGAGACCATCTAGGCATAGCTGTGAATGGAAGAAGCCATAAATGTTCCATGATTCTCTCTTGCCTTTGTGGTTGTAGGTTTGTAGGTGGGAGAATCAGAAGAGTCTGCTTTTATTTATGAATTCCATGGTTTGCTTAAAATACACGTGGCTCTGGAGCTGTAATGTCCACATGTAGCTACTGAATGCTTGAAATGTGGCTGCAGAGTGAAATGATAATGTTTTGGATATATTGGGCTAAACATTACTAAAACTAAATATATACAAATATTACAACTAATTTTACTTCTTTTTACTTTTTAAAATGTGGATACTACAAAATATAAAATTTCATGTGTCACTTGCATGCATACATTTCTCTTGTTCTGGAGAGTTAGAGTTGAAGAGATGGGTCCAGTCCTAGTTCAGGAACTCAGGTGCATAGTAAGTTGAAATAGCTATACTCTAATCCCATACCTGCACTCTGATCCCAGAGGGACCTCTCTCCCTTCAAAAGTCCAGTTAACCTGAGTAATGGCTTCATTGTTTTTTTTAAATCGTTTTTAATTTTAGAACACATTTGGATTTATAGAAAAATCACAAAGATAATACAGAGAACCCCTATGCATCTCATGCTGTTTCCTCTATTAACATCATATGTTAATATGATACATTTGTTGTTGCAGCCAGTGAACCCACATTGATACATTACAATTAAATGAAGTCTATGTACCACTTTGTTCAGATTTCCTTTTGTTTTGCTTTGTTTATTCTTTTGTTTTACCTAACATCCTTTTACTATTATAGGATTCAATCGAGGACACTATAAAACATTAATTAATCATGGCTCCTTACGTTCCTCTTAGCTGTGACAATTTTCTCAGCCTTTTCTCTAGACTTCAGTTTAGAGGAGTCCTGGTAGGACGTTTTCTAGAACGTTCCTCAATTGGGATTTACCTGATTGTCCTTCTCATGATCAGACTGGAGTTCAAGCTTCTGGGGAAGAAGAACATAGAAATAAAGCACAATTTTCATCACGTTCTATCGAGAATATATACTCTAACTTATCACTATTGATGCTAACTTTGATCACCTGGCTGAGGTAGTGTTTATCAGGTTTCTCCACTGTAAGTTACTCTTTTTCCTCTTTTTCATACTCTTTGGAAGATCATATGCATAGCCCTCACTTCAGGAGCCGAGCATCGCACTCCACCTACTTGAAGGCTTAGCCTCTATGTTAATCATTTGGGATTCTCTGTAGGAGAGATTTTGTCTATTCTTCTCCACTTATTATTCAGTCATTTATATACATGGACTCATGATATTTATTTTATTCTTCGTATTCCAATACTACTTTATTTTGTTGCTCAAATAGTTCCAGGTTTGACCATTGGAAGCATCTTCAGCTGGCTTCTGAGTACTTTAAATATACCCCTATCATTGCAGGTTTGGGTTTTGGGTTTTGGTTTTTCCTCTTTAGCACTTTCTTACTCTCCAGGATTCTCCAACATCATCTTATATTTTTCCCATACGAGTCCTAGAATCAGCCATTTCTACAAGGAGTCCAACTTCCTTTTATTAGAAATGGTGTTAGAGGGGCGCCTGGGTGACTTAGTCGGTTAAGCGTCCGACTTTCGCTTAGGTCATGATCTCGCGGTTTGTGGGTTCGAGCCCCGCGTCGGGCTCTGTGCTGACTGCCAGCTCAGAGCCTGGAGCCTGCTTCAGATTCTGTGTCTCCCTCTCTCTCTGACCCTCCCCTGCTCACACTGTCTCTCTCTCTCCTAGAAATAAATAAAACATAAAAAAAAAAATGGTGTTAGAAACCAAGATCTGGACACTAGGTATGCTCATAGCTACTGTGGTATTATTGCTTCTAGTCCCTCAGCTGACAGACGAAGAAATGCATGTCTGTATAGTAAATGACATATGTATACATACCAAAAAAATATTTGTATGTGTAACCATCTATAGTAAGTTAAACAAGAGTTCGTATTGCTGTCTCTAATTCTAATCTGTTATTACATGGATCATGCTGGAATGGCTTTGTTTCACTATTGGCCATTCTCTACCACGCTACATAGTGTAGCATTAGTAATATATCAATTTTTTTTTAAATATTTTTTAATGTTTTATTTATTTCTA